CGAAGACTGTCCATTTGGCGCATTACTGCCTGGGCCTCAGCCATGTACGGTCTCCATGTGGTGGGCCTGACATCACAAGGTCTTGCCCAGCTTGAGTCACATATGATCTTTCAATTGCGCTTTGTCCTGAGGAGCTACTCCCAGGAAACTCACGAGAACAACCAGCAGTTCATGCAACGCAAGGGCCTCAAGGCGGCCAAAGCTCAGGTATTGAAGAGATTGCAACAGTTCATTAAACGCCAGCACAAGGGCGATAAAGAAGCTCTTCTACAGCACTACCTACCTAGGGCTGAGACTCTTTGTGACAGCATCTCTCGCCTCACAGCAGTGGCCAGAGCGAACAGCATCGATCATCAGCAGCAACAGGTGTGCACTGAATGCGGATCTCTGTTTGCAGGCACAGGCGCACTTAGGCGCCATTCGCAGAAACATCACCCTGGAGCTCGTCTGTTTCCGAAAGGTCCACGCTTCAACCCCAAAAAGCACGCAAAGGCAGGCACGCCTGAGTGCATAGCCTGTGGACACCTGTTCCGCTCATACTTCTTCTTGCGTCATCATGTAGAGACTTCTACATGTCCGCGCGTGAGCATACTGCTCCAGAATCAGGCAGATGCCGAGGCACCCGTAACGGAACTCGAACAAGTTCATGAGCAAGTAAAAGCCGAAGCACTTCGGGAGCCGGGACAGGCTGCCATGAATCCTGACCTGCAAATTTGGCTCATGGAAAGCTGTGCGCTCTGTGGGCAGGCCTTAGCAGGCAACAAGGCAGTCAAGCAGCACTTGAATCGTCAGCACCCTGAGGTCATGACCAGCGTCCAGTCGATCATAACTCCAAGACTTCAGCTTCATAAAGTCATGATGAAGAAGGGCCAGCCCTGCCGCTACTGTCGAACCAAGGTCGATGCGCCAGGAAGGCACTCTGAGCAGTGTGTCCCCCTCTTACAAACGCATGTACTTCAGGAAGCTCAAAAACAAGGACTAGATTTGGCCCCGAGAGCATATGAAGCCAAGCCCAGGACACAGACGACGCCATCCCGACCTTCCCGAACCCAGCCCGTAGGCTCACTAGACCCGGTCTTCATCCTAGAGGGCTTTTGGCTACTGGCCAACCGGCGCAACCACTGCTACGCAAACTCAGTTCTGCAAATTCTGCATTGGGTAGTGCCGTCGATAAGCCTGCCAACACTCCAGGAAGCGTATCGAGCTAGCCAGTTAGCGCGAATCACACCAGAACACCATGTCCTAGATACTATCACTAGAGGCTGGACATTCGATGGGAACCAGCAGGACGCAGCGGAGTTTCTCAGTGTGATACTTCCGAATCTTTCAGGAATCCAGGTCTATTGCTGGGAAACGCGGTCTCCAATGGAGGCGGGTTATGTTGTGGACGAGGAAGGGCTCAGCCCCATTTTTCTGAACGTTCCGTTGGCCGAGGACCTGCAAACTATGATAAACAGCTGGAGCAATCAGACGCCGGTTCGAGCCCTGGTAGCCGCGGAAAAGTTCGTCTTCCTAGCCTTGCCGAGGTACGCCGGAGATGGCAAAAACAGTAGCTCCATACGACTTCAGGAGATGCTTTCACTCCCTGCCTTTGAAGGAGAGGGGTCGGCCCTGACCTGGCATCCCTTCCTGTTTCGAGCTGGGGTGATTCACCTTGGGGAGGAGCCTACCTCAGGGCACTACCGTAGTCTCATTCGAGCTGAAGCACAATGGTATCTAGCAGATGATTCTCGTCCCCCGACAGCTTGCCAACTCTATGACTCGGTGATCACAGGCAATATCTATCTCTTGTTGCTCGAGCGGCAGCAGGCCTGACACTTTCAGCAGCCAATCTGAGTTTAGGCGGGCATGACAATGCTGTTTCATGCACTCTGCAATTCAGTCGCAATACCCTCAGCTGCTTCTCTCCAGTCATCTGAGTGGGGCAGAGGATAGGCGCTGCAGACATGTCGTTGGAGGATTTCTTCATAAGTGCGCCTATGTCCGACATTTCTCTTCCAAACGCGGCGAAATCCCGAGTCAATCTGGCGGAGAATCTCCCCAGAAACGTACGAAGAGTGGAGCAGCTCCCTCTTCCAAGGGGCAAGGTAAGGGCAAGCAAACTGGTCAGCGGCGAGGCGAAGGAAAGTCGTCAGACGCAACCGAAGATGACCTTGTGAATGCTGTGGCAAGGCTCGTCTTGAGGCATGACGAACAGCTCCTAGCCTTGACGTCCGATCTCTGCTACATATCCTATGTCCGAACAGATGCTCACTCAGTACTGCAAGAGCTTCATGCAGAGAGCAAACGTCAACGAAGCCTGATGGCCCCCACAGCTCCCCCGAGACATGCGCTCACTCTCCGATTCTTCAGGGCTCTCAAGGACAGAGTCGTGCAGGTCAGCCAGTCTGAGGCAGTGCAGCAGAAACTCAAGCAGGAGGGAGTGATGACTATGCATGGTGAATGGCCCTACCTCGAATGGAGCTCTGGCAGTCAATCCACGGTAGAATCCTTGGAAGACCCTTTGAGCACGTCGCAACTACTCTCGGGACTGGGTGATGTCATCTCACGCCTGGAAGCCGACTCGACTCAGGTGACCATGTTTAAGACATCGCGCCCCCTTAGTGACAAGATGACAGGAGGCCCGGTGCGTTTGCTCTCTCAGTTTTCTTGCAAGGTCGGGACCG